ACCCTCAAGAAATGTTATTTTTCGTTAAAGAATCATTCGTATACTAAAAGTTTTCAAAGTTAGATTAAAAACTACATAGAATCTAGTCGATTGCACAACTAGGAGGCATATTATTCACACTTATCTACCTTGTATCATGTAGATGATAAGAATAGATATTTTATAACATTATCATTTACAACATTTCAGAGGCATTTTTTGTATGTTGGATAAATCCAAAATATATCATTTGAAAGCAGTTTTCAACTAAAAATTCTTTAGATTTCATCATAATGCAATCGATTTATAAAACGATTGATATTCTATCCTCATCTGATTATTTACAAAATTCAACTGTTCGAACAATAACTGATCAATTTAAAATAAGTGATGAACTAGCAAAACAATTCGAAGAAGTACATCCGATAAGAAATGGAATGACAGTAAGTCATCAAACATATCCAAGAGTTATTTTAATGGTGGATTATACATTAGATGAAGCAATACTTCTTTATCGTAAATTATTTTATTCAACATTTGAAAGGAAACCTCCACAATGTGATATAAATACATTATTATATCAAATTGAACAATCTAAATCAAAATTCTTAGATATTATTGTTGATTATGGTGGTGCATTTGAAAGTGAACATTTACATTTAATAAGATGTGCTTTTCCACATGCTATTATCTATTCAATTGATATTTTGTATGAAGATCTTGATTTATTAATTTGTAATATAAACGAAGATGAAAGAAAATGGTGTGTTATACCCGTATTTAGTTCTACGAATAAGTTTCAAAGATCTCAATTAATTGAATCATTACGTCAAGAAATCGGAAAATCATCCTCATTTTGGTATGGAATGAATATATGGAAACTAGAATTTGATCATACAATTAATTATTTACAAATTTATGATCCATATACAGAAATTCTTGATTTAGAAAAAATTCATTTTATTGATACAATAGATAAATGTGAAATAAAACCATGTTCTCTATTTATGGCTTATAATATGCATAGTGCAATACCAAATGTTAATTCACTCATATCAGATGGTTTAATAGATCGTCGCCATACAATAATCGATATTGTGGAATGTATTTGTGTAAAGTCGTCACTTTCTCGACAGAAAATTCTATCAGATAATAATACAAGATGGGATGATACACGTGCTCAATTAGCTCAATTAAGATCAATCGTCGGTGAAAAGCCAAAATTATCATTTTCATTACCACAAACATATGGACTTCGCCGGCTTAATAATGATATGATTGCACAATTATTACATGGAAAATTAAATAAAATTTCCGAAAATGACCATGATGATTCGATGACACATCAATTTGGATTCACAGGTGATTTTCGTTCATCTATACTTAATAACAAATCTATTTCGGGAGATTATATTGATTGTATTAATTTGAATTCATTTATGATTAAACATAATTTGACAAATATTACGTCATCTATTGTTCAACAATGTATTGAACAACACATTGGTTTTCCATGGAAAAATGAAATTATTAATAAAAATCTTCCAAAAAATTTCATAAAAGAATGTCTTAATGAAATTTTAGGATCTATTACTAATCTTCATATTCATATTGATTCTGATGATGCATTAAAATATTCATCTGAATTTATTCATCAATTAAAAATTGAAAATCCAACTATTAATGTTGAAATATCTTTTAATGAGAAATTAACTGATCGTGAAGAAATTTATCAATCAGTTATTATATTAACATTTGAATGTAATCATAATTATGTTTTAGTATATTTACAACTTGATTCTTTTATTGAATATATTTCAACATGTCAATCATTAGAAGATATTCAAATAAAAATCGAATCATCTGTAAGATTTAGTTTTTCATTAAGTCAAGGACAATCAATTAAATGGCATCAAAATCTTTCATTTATTTATGTTTCTGCTCATCAAAATAATATTATTGAAGAGGTTCATAAGAATATTTTATCAAAAGGTTTAAAAGATTTGATTTTTATAACAAAAAAATTATCGTTTCTTGATGAATCGAAACAATCACAACATTATAAAAAGCAAACTATTCTATGTTTTGATTTCTCAAAACGTATTGATAATTGGCGAACTACTACAAAGAAATATAATCAACTTGATCAATGGATTTGGGATAAAGATGATGGAATATTTACTAGACCATTTATAACTTTGTATCCAAATATATCAAATTATTTCATTGATGAATATCCTCAATTTAATATGCGTACAAATGTTATGGGAATTTATAATTTACTTTGGAACAATATTTTAATAATCTTTCAATGGCGAGGTTTCTTTAGGAGGCAATGTCAAAACGAATGATATTTATATAAAAATACTTGAATTAAATATTTCATAAATCCGCACTCATATCATAATTGATTAACAATAAAATTGAGCTTCAATAACTGAATTGGGTGCTTGAATAGGATATAATTTAATAAATTTCCATCCAGTTTTATTTAATAAATCTTCATATTCATATTGTGTTCTTTCTCTTCCATTATCAGTTAGAATAGCCATAGCCATATCAAGTCCGTATGTTTGCCAATTACTTGTAGCACCTTCTGGGAAAATAATATGTTCAACAATAAAAATTGTTATTAATGAATTTTTTTTATTTTCATTTGCTTGACGAATTGATGATAAAACTTTTAAACATTTATTATCGTTAAAACCATGTAAAATATGTTTAAGTATATATGCATCGGCTACTGGAACAATCAAGAAATCAAGCATATCACCAGAAATAAAACTCCATTTATCATTAGATACTTCACGTGATATGAATTCTTCACCATTATTAACTTCATTAATAATTGGAGATAAATCGAAAACAATTCCATATTGAATATTTGAATATTTTTTAAGAATTTGTGCTAAAAATATTCCACGATTTCCTCCAAGATCAACTATAGTTTTAAATCGACTAAAATCAATACCATCAACTAATTTAATACCTGCTTCTATTGACATTGTTGTCATAGCACCATTATAAATTGATAAAAATTCTTTATCATTACATTTAGTTAATAATGTAAACATATCAAAACTATCAACTTTATCATCAGTTTGA